AATTTGACTACTTTTTTGCTAAAATTTACTATTTTTTTGTTAAATTTGACTATTTTTTTTTGTTAAACTTGACTACTATTTCTTCCATTGTCTACTATTTTCTCTCAATGGAGCACTCGAAGAACAACGAGGTACGTCCATTTTTAATCAAAATTTTACCATATTGTTGATTATCAGTAGTTTTTGTATATGGAGATAACTTTTTTTTGAAAAAAAAAACTGAAAAAATAATAATAAAACCGTAGGTTTCTTACGAAACCTATGGTGTACAAGTCCACACTGCACAATATGTGCATTGTGGACTTGTACGGTTTTAATTTTTTTTCGGTTTTTTTCAAAAGAAAACTCATATACAAAAACTACTCCTAATCAACAATACGGTAAAAATTTTGATTAAAAATAGGCGTACTGTAACGCCCATAAAATCAAGCCAATTTAAAACTTTTAAAAACATTTCAACCCATTAAAAATCATTACATCTTTGTTTTCAAAATGTATAATATCAGAGTTTTCCTAGAAACATAAACAAAACATGAGGAGCTGTACGATCATGCATTTGCCTTGTCGCGATCCCCTGATGTACCTGAAACAATAAACTGAAACTGTAAGCTCGAAAGCTTAGTGAGTTCCCCCAAAATACCCATATCCACAATAATACACATAATCGTAAACAGCATACTATGGGTCTAGTCAACCATCGGGTTGGAATACCCCAGGCCCTCAACCATCCGGTTGGAATGCCAACATACTATGGGTCCAATCATCATCGGGATGGAATACCCCAGGCCCACAACCAACAGGTTGGAATGCCCACACACTACGAGTCCAATCATCCTCGGGATGGAATACTCACGGCCCACAACCTACAGGTTGGAATGCGCAGGTCTATTGGCCTTCGCACAAAGCAGATAAGCCTCAACCGCTAAACAAACATGTGCACATATAACAGATAATCACATACCAATCTATAGATAATACTTGATCTAACGGATCATACTACATAGCACATAACACCATCCTATCTACCAGGATGCCGATCTAACAGATCATACCACATATCATATAATATTATCCTACCCTCTAGGATATCGATCTAACAGATCATACTAGCATAGCATAACCAGATAACAATCCAAAGGGCCGACCTTGGTGCCTTAGACCCTTGAGTATAGTGAGGAAAACTCACCTCGTACTGTCGACTCAAAGATAAACCCAAGCTCTTGGATTGCCGGTACAACTCCACCACCTGAATGCACCATAGAACCATGCTTGTAATTTCCAATTTCCCAAAATGCCCCAGAAGTCCAATAGTCAACCCTTGGTCAAAGTCAAAGTCAACTATCAAGGTCAACAGTCCATGTTGACCTCAACTAGTCGAGTACAACCAACCACTCGCCGAGTTCCTTGCATAACTTGCTAACTCGCCGAGTCACTTGAGCGACTCGTCGAGTTCCTAATGTCAGTGGCCGCAAACTCTCTTGGCCAACTCGTCGAGTTTCCCCTTTACAACTCGTCGGATTCATACGTGTCCAAAGGTCGGGAAAACCCTAGCCGACTCGCCGAGCAATCGACTGACTCGCCGAGCCCAAGGCAATCTTCATCGGACTCGCCGAGTTGTTCATGCAACTCACCGAGTTCCTTCAGTCCTTCATCCATACAGAGGCTTTTTAAGCCATGCTAAGGCTCCAAATTGCAGATCCAGCTTCCCAAGGCATGTTTATCACGTAAAGTTGCAAACTTTACGTGCATGCAAAGCTCTAAAGCCTTAAAATGACAAAAACCAAGCTTGCAAAGAAGTCTCACACTAGAGGGAAGGTTCATGCTTGCCAAAGCTGAAACTTTATGCACTTAGAGTCCAAGGAAAGTCCAGATCTGAAGTTGCAACTTCAGATCTTAGCTTATACCCATGAATGGCTTCTTATTATACTAGAAAAGCCCTAAAATCCACCCAAAAGAGATCTAGAATGAAATCGGGGTTAAGATAACAGCTTAAAGCCTTCCCAAAAGATGCCAACTGAAGTAGATCTTGATTCCCACGAGTTCCTTGCTTCAATCCACTTGTTTTCCCCAAGCTCTTCTCCCCAAGAATCCTCTTCCAAAGCTTAAAACCCACAATGGAGCACACACACACGTATTAGGATTTTGCTGAGCTCTCAAGGGACTGTAAAGAGGCTGAAGGAGGCTTATGATTCTTTAAATAGGGTGCAAAACCCCGCAAATTAGGGTTTCACCCTCCAGCTCCAACTCGTCGAGTCACTCTTCCGAATCGGCGAGTTGGTCACTTAAACACGTGTCCCAAACCCGCCACTACTCGACGAGTCAGGGCATCCAACTCGTCGAGTAGACCTTAAAACTTGAAAATTAAAGCCACAATATTAATACCTGAGAATCGGGGCGTTACGTGTACCTCGTTATTCTTCGGGTGCTCCATTGAGAGAAAATAGTAGACAATTGAAGAAAAAATGAGGAAAAAGTACCCTAAACTGAAAAATAAGACATTATATACTATGGTCCAATGGACCACAAAACAGTAGACGGGCCACGAAAGAGTAGTCCATTGCGACGAAAGAATAGTTTTCGAAGGTTGACCGTAGTCAACCCTAACCTATCTAGTATTTCGTGGGCTAGTTTTGGCTAATTTGTTTTTTTGGCTAATTTTGGATATGTAATTAGTGTATTTGGCTAGATTAGTATTTTCCCCTAAAGTAAATTACATAATACCTACTTGTGGTTTGGGTCATTTGCAACTTTCTTTTCTAAATAAATTATTGTAACTTGGATCATTCATAAGGTAATTTTTGATATGATAGTCATTCTTATTAGACATATAAAATGATTCCATCGTTTTTATTTGTTCTTTTATTCTTTATATAACTATTTAAATTATTATGAAAACAACGGGGTCCCACAATCTCATTGTCGTTGCGCCCCCTCAACCTTACATTCATGTCTCACGTAATCACCACCCTCCTCTTCCTTTTACATTCCGAAAACACCACAACGTCTCTCTCTCCCTCTCTCTCTCTCTCTCTCCAACCTGATAGGAAAAAACGAATCCTAAAACGAGATTTAGGTCACGTAAATGGTTATGGGACCAGATATAAATGATTTAATGTATTGGTTTAGAAAAGATTTAAATAAATATAATTAGAGTAAAATTGTTTCTTTATAGTAGATATAGATGTGATTAATATGATGATTAATGGATTATACTCTAACCTAATCATCTCGTCTTAAAAATGTTAATAGTTAAGTATAATGGTGTCTTAGTGGATAAAATTCTGAATATTTAATAAAAATACTTTAAAAAATGGTGAAAACAACGTTTTAGTAAAGAATGTAATATAATGGTTTTATAACTCTTTATACATCCAATCATAATCTTGCCAACCTTAAAAAAACAATTTACAGGTAGAGCGGACAATGAGTCGACATGGGTTGGGTTCGGGTTCAACCCATTTATTAATTGGGTTGATGATTTCAACCCAACCGAATATGTTTATTTAAATTGGTTGATATTTTCAACTCAACTCAACCTTTCAGATAAATAAGTTGTCATCGGGTTGACCTGTTTATATAATTCTCAATCCAACCTATTAAATAAATAAGTTTAACCTAGATTAACTCATTTAAAAAAAAGTAAATAAATTAACTAAAGATTAAACCATTTAAATTACTTTCAAACTTAAATAAAAATTCAAAGTATGACAAAAGCACAATCCCAATTCGCAAATATAAATAAATTGTTCAAATAACATCAAAGATATGTAATTTTGAAGTGATATTGAAGAGTAGTTAATGTTGTCGGCCAAAAAAAAGAATAAAAATTAGGATTGCATTTTTTTAAACATAATACAACATTGGAATTTATAAATTAATATTTAGATTAATCCATGATAATATTTAAAAATGTATTAATTTAAATATATAATAAACTTAAATGGGTTTGTGGGTTGAAAACGGGTTGATAATTTTTACCCAACTCAACCTATTTAATTAAATAAGTTAGACGGGTTGACCCATTTAATTTAAATGAGTTGAAAATCTCAACCCAACCTGCTAATTTTAGGTTAAGTTGGTGAGTTAGGTCGATTTTTACCGGCTCTATTTACAAGTACATTTTTTGAAGGTACTTGTAGATGCGATTGTACAGTGACACTCATCATCAAAGCAAATTGTACACGTTTGCTACTAGCATGATATGCCTTAGGTTGGAGGGAGTGGCCCTCGCCAGGAGCTCGCCTCCACCACTTCCATCAAACGTGCTACATGTCTCACTAAGAATGGCTTTTCAGCCGGGATAGCGAGAGGAAAGAGAAGAGAAAGAGTTGTGATTGACTTCTTTTTTCTTTTATTTATTTTTTGTTTTTTTTTCAAAATAAAAATAACATAATATTTAGATGCTACCACTCTACTCTCTATCTTATGTGGCTTAAAGAATATTCCTAAATGACAACATGCTAAGGATGTTACCATTCGAGCCTTACCTACGGCCTTAGTATGATTATACCGTGTTATAAAAACCCACATTAGCAAATATATCATTTTGGATGACATGTGTATTATTGATGTTATATCTTTTTGCTTTTGAAAGTTGCTATTTTTAGAAGGACATGGGTGTTACATTATGGTTCACAACCTTTTCGCCTTTCGGAATGGAAAGAAACAAAACAAAGAAAAACAATCATCTTAAAGCATGTTGCATCTAACATATCTTCATGTATAATTTGAATTTTTATTTTTCTTTCTTTCTCTTTGCATTCCAAACGTGTTATTTGGAAACAGTTTCGGCTACCACCTCTTACTCCATCCTTAAGAGACTCGGGATTTTGTTATAATGATGATTGTTTAAGGTGTAGGAAACCTATCTATTTGTTTACCTCTTACATGTGCAAGTTATATGTTCCCACAAGTATTACAATTATGACACTTTTCGACAGTCATAGGTTTTGTAATCTTTCCTTGTGTGCTTAAGAAAAGAGATATTGAGGAGAATAAGACTGTAAATGGAGGTATGATTACTATAAGAATTGATTTCAACATGTAACAACTTGATAGCTCTAATAGCTCCAGCCTAAATCTACACATGTGGTCTCATATTCTCAATTAGTGACCAAAATAAATGCAACATTTCTGCCATTTCTGCAACTCCAACTTCCTACAATTGTAACACCAGAACTACCACTTTTGTTACTTGATCCCTGCTTTCTCTAAGCTTGCCATGTATGTCATGTAACAAGTCCATATATACGCAAATGAGTTGCTCACTAATGGCTGCATTTTCACAAAACCAATACATGATTTAACATCAAAATATTCATGAATCAATGAATCAAATCAATGAAGAAATGAACTTTTTCGATTAATTACCTGCAAATGAACAGGGACGAATCTGAATGTGATAAAATCACAAACAGGCCAATACATAACACCATTGATCATAGTAGGGATCAAGTCTCGCTTCAATCTAGCAACAATTTCTCTACCATTTTCACCTGTGAAATATTCGATCAAAATTACACAAATCTCAAAGTAAAACACCAAAGGCAGCCATTAAAATGCAAGCAAGAAACTAGTACCTTGTATGCCTGCATTCACAGAGAAGAACACGACAGTCATAACAGGTCCAAATATCGCCTGACCCAAGAACATTTTCTTGAATGTTGATATAAGGTCACGATTTGGAAAGATTCTCGATACAAAATTGAACCAATAATGTAGGGCTGGACCTAATACGATCATTCCATATCCAGCCATGCGAAAAGTTCTTATACCATCGTAAGACTCTGAAGATGATCGAGTAATTGTCTGAATATGAGTTGAACAAGAAAAGAACACATTTTGAACATATAAACTCGATTAAAAATCAAGAAATTACAACCCCAGTAACAATAAGAAGAAATCTAACAGAAAACGAAGAACAGATTCAAGTACCTGAGAGGATAAATCAGAAGCAGTATAAATAAGAGCAGAGGTGATGCTTTTAGTAAGAATGGGTCGGGTTTTAATCAAACCCAAATACCATCCAATAAACGCACTCTTTGAAATCGACGAAAAACGCGATACGCTCTGTGTATTGGTGGTCGGAAATGGAACAGAAAACTCGATGTCTTTCACTTTTCTTTGAGAAAATCGGGAGTATGAAGCTTTGGGTTGTTGGAAAGGGGTTCTGGTAATCGGAGCTCCAAGTGAATCGGAAATCGAGTGTTTTCTCCATATGGTGTTGATGTAGATGTGTGCTTTGTTGCCATTCTTGAGGAAACCTGCGCTCATTTTTTTTTTTTTTTGGTTTCTTCTCCTGAATTTGTGGGTGGAGGTGTGGTTGTTTCTAGGGTTTATGTAGGAGAGATTTTAAGGAAGTCGGCTTGTTTTTGGTTTAGTCAAGAAAAGACGTGTCGTAGTGTCAAGAGTTCAAGATTTATGTAGTTTGGACAGACATCCTCGTCGACCGAAGGAAGTCGACTCCTTTTTTCAGAAAAGGACTACTTATCATTTTAATTACACTTTACATCAATCTTTCATTTGGTTTGTGTAAATTATGTGTTTGTCTAATTTTTTTCACTTAAGATAATCTTTATAATTTGGTTTCGGTGTTGTTTTGGTTTTGATGCGGAACTAAATTAATATAATAGTTGTATTGCTTTTTTCTTTTATATTTTTAATTGTTGTATAATTATTTATGTTATTACTGAACATTAGGGTCTTACACTCACCCGACCGCATCTCACCCCTATCCCTTACCCTTTTATCCTCTGGCGTCTCCTTCCTTGTATTACCATCGATGACCATCCATAGTGAAGTCCATGATCGAAGTTCGAGTCCAACATTCTTGCTACTGTCGATATTTGTTCCACCCGAAAACGATAAACTTAATATGGGATTAAGTATGGCTTAATCTATAAATATTATAGAAAAACCAATTCATTGTTTTTTTAATTTCAGTTTACTGAACATTAAATAGATTTGCCACTATCCATTAATATGGATAAACTAGATATGTTCCAAACACTGGAAACCGATCATTGATAAGTTCAAATCGAAGTTGTCGTCATGGAAATCCAAGTCCCTCTCATTCGGTGGAAATCCAAGTGCCTTCGACCCGCTAAACATGGCGAGGAAACTCACCTCGAACTGCTGAATCACACGAATAAATCTTTGGCTACTCGTCTGAAAAATCCCCGAGCTATCAATACCAAATAACATCCAACTGATAATTGCATTCCAATCCATAACCATCAGTCCAAATTTACGGTAAAAAGACCATATTACCCCTTACCTAGTGTGGCCCAATACTAAAGCCAACCTATAATCCAAAAGGCCCAATTACCAAAATAATCATCTAAGGCCCAATCATGGCCCATTGGGCCTTAATCCAAGGTCCAAAAATATTCCTAGCCCAAAACACTTGAATTCTGATGGCCCAACAAGGCCCCAATCATCTAAGCCCAAAATATGGCCCAAACCGAAGAACCAAGAGTCTAAGGCCCAACCTGCTGAGTACGCGGGGGTTACTAAGCTCATACGCTCAGAGTACCCGCCTTAGGGCTTGTACGCCCAACGTACTCCCTCATTCAGCCAACTTTCATTTCCAGCTCTTAATTCATTAAGACTTTACTCCAAAACTTAGATTTGACTTCCATGATATGGTTTATCACGTAAAGTTGCTAACTTTACGTTCATGCATGGCTTAATGAAGCCGTTAAATCTTAAAAGGACTTAATAGATGACTTAATGCATCCGTGAGACCATAAACCCCATAAAGTTGGCACTTTTAAGCATAATGAACCCTCCAAACATCCAGATCTACAAGATTTAGCTTCTAAAACGACCTTAACCCATTAAGACCAACCAAAAGGGGACAAAAAAGCATAAAACCATAACATGAAGAGATCTAAGCAAGGAGAATACAAAGTATAAAGTTGATACCTCAAAAGACTTGCAAAATGAGTGATGATTCTGGATCTCTAAGCTTCACACTAAGCAATGCACCTTCAATCTTCTTCAATCCCTTCAAAATGAACAAAATAAGCGCCAACTTCTTCTCAAGAGCTCAAAGACACAACAATGGAGGGTAAGGGTTGAAATTTAGGGTTTAGGAGGTATGAAGGCTGGTAAAGAGGCCAGCCCTAGGGACTTAAGGAGTTTATATAGGGTGCAACATCCTAAAATTAGGTTTGTATTAACCCCTCGTACGCCCAACGTAATCCTCGTACGCCCAACGTACGAGGCCTCAATCCTACGTACTAACTCCAAGGACCAAAATGTAATAATTAAATACAAAGTGGCTAAAAATGATCATACCCAAAGCCAAGTGTTACAATTTACTTCTTGCCCGAGCCAGCGCCACTCCGGATGTAACATCCGAAAAACCCAGGTTAAATTGTCATTTTCAAAATAATAAAACATCCATTTTTAATAAAGTTACATTCACGATAAACCATTTGTTCATAAACCATTATTCGGAAATCAGAGTTATAATGGAGACAGTGTGGAATCTTGAATCGTAAAATTGATGATGTGTGTGTACAGTCCCGCATTTGCAATCTGATAAAAACCTAGAAAATATTAAATCCACAACTGTAAGCACAAAGTTTAGTGAGTTCCCCAAAATACCACATACAACACAACATAATAATCAACTAAAGGTTATCAACAAACTTTGGAGACTATCAACGGTCCCAATGGGCTAACAGCACGCCTGATGGATTAACAACCTACCTCATAGGTTATCATCAACCCTGGGGACTATCAACAGTCCCATGGACTTATAGTAGTCCAGGAGTTATCAGCAACTCATTTCACATATGATAGAAATCAACAAATAAGACCCAGCTAGTCAACATGCATATACTACCACACACGCAAGTATAGTGAGAAGACTCACCTGAATGAAGAGCTGAGACCCCCATACTCTTAGCCCCGCAAATCAGCTGCATGAACCTCCTAAACCAACCACAAGCTAAATATCAAGCTATAGATCAACATCTCTCCAAGTTTGACAAAAAGTCAAACTGGTCAAAAAGTCAACGGTCAACGGTCAAAGTCCACTTCAGTAGGTCGTCACGTCGTGACCTCTCATTGCCACGACGTGGGGAGAAAACGACAAAATAGATGGGTATCCCCCAGTCACCATGTCATGGCCTCTATTGCCACGTCGTGGGAACTGGGTCTCAACAACTTAATGTATTAAGTTGTTTTCCTTCAACCTCAAGATTTCCAAAGCTCAGATTTAGTCCTTCCCAAGGTCTTGATGGATAAAGTTTCCAACTTTACCCATTAAGACATCCCAATGAGTATAGATCTCTAAACCTAGATCGTTAATGACAACTTAAAGCTTGGACTCAACCATTAAGCTCTTAATAACCAAAGCCACAAATGCATAACTTCTACAAGGACTTTTTACTTCTATTCCAACATAAAAATCACAGCTTTATGGACATGCACGTCCAATGCAAGTCTAGATCTCAAATAGGTCAAAATGGGGAAAAAGACCAAAATCTCATGCATAGAGCTCAAGACACAATCAAACTTTAGATCCAAAAGATATAGTGACCAAGGGGCCAAGATGAGCTATAAGGTTGCAAACGTTATCTCATCCAAGCAACCAAACTTGAATATGAACCAAAAAGTGCAATAAATCTTAGATCTATGAAGAGAAAACCAAAAAGGTGGAAGCTTTATACCTTACAAAGCTCCACAAGATGCATGAGGTGCAAGATCTGAAGTGATGCGCTCTTCCAACTAGCAAGCCCACCTCTCATTCTTCTAAAAATACAAGCCAAAGCTTCAAACTTCAAGAATCACCATTGATACAACAATAATCACTCCAAGGGGCTGGCGTTTCATTTGAAAGTGTTGGAGGTTGAAAAGGATACCATAATCCTTGAGATTAGGTGTTTAAATATGGAGAAAACCCAAAAATCATGGGCTTGGGCCGCCACAGCTGCCACGTCGTGGCCTTTCCTTGCCATGCCGTGGTGACCAACTAAACATGCGGTCAAGCGTAAAATACGCCACATCGTGGTCTTCTATCACCACATCGTGACACCTAGTTTTCCCAAAAGTGATAGCTCTGATCCCACCAAGCCCTCACCTGTTCCATTAAGGGAACGAGTGTTACACACTAACATACGAGTCTCCGCTACCCAAATGTCGGGCCCAATCATGAAAGTGAATTCCATGATGGTCCACGACACACCATGATGTCATCCAACCATTGGGATGAGAAGCTCACGGTTCCTCACCGTTCTTGCTATCACCCAACCACAGACATGAAAACTCTCAACCGACACCGGGTAGACCTATAGGCACACTACCATTATCCTATTGACCTGCAAACACATAGTCATCAACGCATTCAACACTAGCCAAAACCAGATGAACCATACCATTCCGCTACACATAACTCTTCCTCAGTTTAACCGCCACTGGCACATCATCATATTAAACATGACCGCACACAATTAGGAAACAAGATAGACATCCGAACACCTGCTACAACTTGAAAACACAACATGTCACACTCCCTAGGAGAGAACACAATGCTCTCCAAGCCATCTGTGTCCTTTCTAATCATGGCCTTACCTGAAGACTGAAGTACCAGGGAATCGAACAAAACGATGAACCTCAATTGCTAATAGACACATTCTTCTATCACCAAAAAATAAGATCCCCCACCTTAACAAACCTGAACAGATCCCACCAATGTGCAAATAAACCAATAACTTCCACTTCTGAAGAAGAGATCCAAAATTATCCAAAACCGATGCAAAAACCCTAATCTAATCAATCTCAATACCAACCCAGTTGACGCAACATGACAAGGCTAGTGTAGCCATGATTATGCCTGAAAAACTAAGCAACGTTGCTCCAATATTCGAACTTTCCAATAACTAAAGCTATCCACCAACTCAGATCCAATAGGAACAACAATTATGTTAGATTAAGGTATTTAAGCTCATAACTAAATTGCATGGCCGGTCCAAACATATTTTGGGCCCGGGGCGAGAAGAAGAAAAAGGCACCCCAAAGTCAATAACATAATAAAGTTTCGAAACTAGATATCAATTATAAAAATCATTAACAATATTATAAAAAACAAAAAAAAAAACTACGAACAAAAGTCACAAATCTGATAAAATGAATAAATAAATCTGATAACTAAAAATCCTTTTTTGGCTTTCGGAATAATGTTTTTTAGGCAACATTGTATGAATGTAAAGGAAAGTATAGACTTGGTTTTTTATTTTTGTATCAAATATAAGAAAGCTAAGCTGTAAAAAAAATCAAGAACAAAAATCACAAATATAATAAAAGAAATGAATAAATATGATAACCAATAAATATGCTTAACATTTTACCTTATCAAGTAAAAAATATGATATATTGAAGT